TCCTCCTCCTCCTCCTCCTCCTCCTCTTCCTCCCATGTTCGGCCCGGGGGAACCCGAGTGGGCCCCCACCCCCACTGCACAGGGGGCCCCACGGGCATTGGGACAAGTGCGGTCGAACCACGCCTCAGCAGCAAACCTGCTGGGCTGCTCGCGCCAGCGAAGCGCGCGGCCTCCCTTCGGAGCTGGCCACAGGCGCTTTCATGGGGGCGCGGGGGCAAGGAGGAAGGGGGGAAGAGGAAGCCGGGAGAACCTGGAGGCGGAGGAAGACGGGCGCGCGGCCGGGGAGTCTACGCCACCCCACCCCCCGGTTGGGCGCACGCGCACCCGCCTGAGGCAAGGAGCGGAAAAGGACAGGGGGGATGAAAGGGAAAGGAGGCCAGGCGAAGCGGCGGCCAGGAAAAGGGCAGGAAGAGGAAGGCCAAGTGGCGGCCAGAGGAAGGGAGGAGGAGGAGGAAGGCCAAGTGGCGGCCGTCTCTGGAGGCTCCGGCGTCCGTCCCAGGCCTTAGATGTTGCTTCACTTTGGTTTCGTTTCGGTCGCTCCTGCGCTTTCGCGCATCCCGCCTTCCTCTGGTTTTGCTGCGTTGGGCTGCCTGCGTTCTCAAGGCCTGGCCTCCCTTCGTCGGGGAGGGCGGCGGAGTGTCTGAATAAGAATGCTCCGCGGCTGATCGGCTCGGCCCCGAAGGGGGCGCGACGATGTGCACTGGCGTGGGCGTGCGTCCCTCACACGCCTGCCCCAGCGGACACCCGCTCCAAAGAGGGACGTGCTGGGGCTGCGGCAGCAGCAGCAGCAGCAGGAGGAGGAGGAGGAGGAGGAGGAGGAGGAGGAGGAGGAGGACAACAGGCGAGCGGGGGCGCCCGCGGGGCTAGGGCACCCAGGTCAGTCCAGCCGCCCAGCGGCGCTGCAGATCCAGCTGGGCTTGGACCGCGCAGCTCACGACCCTGTAACTAAGCCCTCGTGACCTCGTCGAGCTGGCGGTCGCCTGGCAGGGTCCGCACCTGCCGAAGAAGCCACTGTCTGGCTTCCCCGCCAAAGCGACCCAGGGTCTCCACCACAAGCGGTGTCATACGATCCCCGGGGTACCTGGCGCATTTCTCGCGTTCGCCCAGCCTGGCCTGGCGGCCTCGCTGGGCCGGCGCGCCGCCGCCTGCACGACGCCCTCGGCTACCCGGCTGCGGACGCGGTCCCAAGCCGGCACCCGTTGCTCCGTCAGCGGCTCTTAGTGCAGCCAACGGCGGACCAGGCTGGCCACCGCGTTCTCGAGGCTGCAGTGGCGGCGCTCCACACCGCCGCCCAGTGCGCAGTTGGCCGCGCGCGTGCCCTGCTCGTCCAGCGGCTGTCCGCAGGGCGCGCCGCGGGCCCCTTGGGCGACAGGGCGGTTCTGGCAGGTCTGCGCGGCCGCCTGGAGCTCTGCCTGCGCGCATTCAGGCCTGGACAAATGCGCGCGGGCACGATGAAGCCCTGTGGCCCAGAGCGCGTCCTCCATCGATTAAGCGGGATCGCTCGGTTAGCCGAGGAACCCGGCGGCCCCTAGCCCTCCGGCCCCCAGGAGCGTCGCCCGCTCGTGGTTATGCAAGCGCTGCCTCAGGGCAGCCTGGGTTTCTGTTGCACAACTTGCACGAGAGTGCTCTGCTTCGCCGGGTGCTGCAGTGCGTCCAGCAAGGAAGCGCTGAGCGCAGGGCCCACGCCCTGGAAGGAAAGCTCCGTCCGCACGTCGGACAGGGCCTCGCCGAGTCGCGGCGCCGCGTGCAGGAGCTCGCGCAGGGAGTCGGTGCCGAGGTCCGCGGCAACGCTGGGCTGGACACGCACGCGGTCCAACTGGCCCGGAAGGCAGCGGCTCGTCGCGTAGTTGCCCGCTGCAGCCCCGCTCCAGAGAGCTTGAGCGGCAGGCCCAGGAGCGCCCGCGCCTCGGCGTCCAGGGGCCGCCCAGCGAGCTCCTCCCAATAGCCCGCCAGGGCGGTGTCGTAGCGCGCCGCCTCCGCCTCGCCGGCCAGCTGCGCGCGCAGGACGCGCTGGCTTGCCGCGCCCGCGTAGGCGCGCAGCAGGCTCCCGGTCCCCTGCAGCGAAAGACCGTGCTCGCCGACCGCGTGCTTCCCCAGCGGCCGGAGGGCGTTCCAGAGCTCCGCCAAGCGCTCGGCCGCCCGCTCGAGGATGCTGTTTTGGCCGAGCTCGAGTGGCGCGTCGGCCACGTCGCCCTGTGCGCGCCGAGCACGGGGAGCGCCTGCACGAAGTGCGCGCGGAGCTCAGGGGGCACAGCCACCTGCCCAGTCGGAGACCAGACCTGCGTTTTCCGGGCGTCGAGCTCCAGCCCAAGAGGCGCAAGGAACTCTCCCAAGCGCTTGAAGGCGGCCGCGGCGAGCTACGGCGGGAGCACCAGGTGGGTGTCGTCCAGGTAGGAGTAGAGTCGGTCATCCGGGTCGTGGCGAGACAGCTCCTCCAGCAGCTGGGAGATCGCCTCCCTCTGGCCAAGCGCGTAGGCAGCTGGCGACAGGGCCCCACCTGGTCGAAACCGAGGGTGCTCTCGACCTCCTCGAAGTTGCCCGCCGTGTCCCTCCAGCGGTGTTTGGCGGGCCCGGAATACCACTTGTCAATACCCACGCGACCCCCGGCACGTGTACAGCCATGGCCCGGATGGCGGGGTCTCGCCGCAAGCGCCGGAAGGCAGCCTTGATGTCCACCTCAATCAACACTATCCCCCGGTGGGCGTCGGCCTGGCCTGCAGCTGCTTGACCAGCAGGTCGGCCCCGCAGCCCCGGCCAACTCCGTACTGGTGAGGGCCCGCGGCCTGGCCGAGCCTTGCATTCTTGACCCGCGCCAGCGCTCGCATCCCGAGTCTCCTGGGGCTGGCCCCCACGAGCGGCGGGAAGACATCCCCATCCCCCTTGTTCAAGGCCACCACCTCGCACTGGCACCGGCACTTCCCCGAAGGTGAGTTCCTCATCCTCCTCCTCCTCCTCCTCCTCCCCCTCCTCCTCCTCCTCCTCCTCCTCCCCCTCCTCCTCGTTCACGCCTCTCCCATATACATAACTCCCCCCCCTTTGCCCCACCAGACATCGTTAGCGGAAGTGGGCTCCTCATGAGCCACTGTGGGGGGCCCTCGGGGAGCCCCGGCAGTTCTCAGGAGCTGTGGGAGGGCCTCGGCAGGGCGCCCTGGTCCTGTATAGGCGTTTGGGCAAGCCCAGGGAACGGGACTAGGCTGGAGCGGGAGGGCACTGTGGAGGGCCGAGACTGGGCTTTCTGCCCGCGCCATCCTCCCGCTTGGACCATGAAATCGGAAGACCACGTGATGGTGTCTGTGGGCACGATCCCCGCTGGCTCCGTGGCCCCGCTGTAGTCTAAGCCATTGATGGTCATGATGTCCCAATCAGCCTCTGTGTCGAAGTCCAGCACCAAAATCGGCTCTGCCTTCTCCTGGACCCCAGCCTCTTACACCTCCCCGTATCCCTCCTCATCTTCCTCAAAGTTGACCATCACACACCTATACAACCACCCTTCCATCATAAGGAGGTTTTGGGGCGAGGAACCAATCGACCTATCGATGCCACTACCGCTCTCACTGTCGAACTCACGATCGACCTCACAATCGCTCTCAACATCGCTCTTACGATCTATCTCAAACCGATATCACTATCGAACTCACTATAGGTCTCACCATCGATCTCACTATCGATCCCACCATCGATGTCACTATCGATCTCACTATCGATCTCACGATCGGTCTCACGATCGGTCTCAAAATCGACCTCGCTATCGATCTCACTGCGGGACACCGACGGGACACCGACAGGACACCGAAGGGACACCAACGGGACACCGACGGGACACCGACGGGACATCACTATCGATCTCACTATCAATCTCACTCGATAGATCTCACAATCGATCTCAATATCGATCTCGCTAGCGGTCCCACTATCGATCTCACAATCCATCTCAGTATCCCCTGTCCCTCGCACTATCGATCTTTCGATCGATCTCACTATCGATATCAGCATCGATCTCACTATCGATCTCGCTACCGGTTTCACGATCGATCTTACTACCGGTATCATTAGCTATCGATCTTACTATCGATCTTACTACCAGTCTCGCAACTGATCCCACTATCGATATCACTGCGGGACACCAACGGGACACCGACGGGACATCACTATCGATCTCACTATCGATCTCACTCGATAGATCTCACAATCGATCTCAATATCGATCTCACTACCGATCCCACAATCGATCTCACAATCGATCTCACTATCCCCTCTCCCTCGCACTATCGATCTCAAGATCGATCTCACTATCGGGCTCACGATCGGCCTCACAATCGCTCTCAATATCGATATTACGATCTATCTCAATACCGATATCACTATAGAGTTCACGATAGGTCTCACTATCGATCTCACTATCGAGCCCACCATCGATCTCACAATCGATATCACTATCGGTCTCACGATCGATCTCACTACTCGCAACAGATCCCACTATAGATCTCGCTGCGGGACACCGACGGGACACCGACGGGACGCCCCAGGCCACCGCCAGACAACCCGGCGAGAGTGGTCATTTGGTCCGGCGGCGCCCGCCCACCCACGCCCGCCCACGCCCACCGCAAGCACTCCACGAGCACACCACTGAGGTCCGCTGTACAATCGCAGTTCGTTGGGCGCCATCGCGCTGACAGCTAGGAGGAAGCGGAGAAGGGGCGAGGACACTTTGCAAATAGCCCCTAGTCAGAGGAGGGTTCATTCGTCTCGCCCGCCCACGCAGCTTCGCCCCGCCCGTACGCACGACACGATCACGAAACCGAAACCGATTTCCCAGTGGGGGGATCTCTGTGTCACTGCGATCTCACCCCCTCACCTCCGATACCCCTTATCCTCCTGCGCTCCCTCTCCTCCACCGCCCTTGATCGGTAGTAATGGAACAGCTCTGGTACGGGCTGCAATCTCCCATCATCCGTCTGCCTCGTCAATTATCCTCCTCGTCGCTCCACCAGCCGTGTCAGTATGGCGGTCAGGTCGTTTCGCCTGAAACTTTGTCATCACGTTCGACCCTGCAGAGCGAATCGTTTGCAAAATGCGGCTCTCGCCCTTGCGCCGCGCACATTCGTGGCAAACATTTCCGTAAGCTCCACGAGCGGATGGGCGAATCTTCTTCAGAGCGTGGTCTCCGTTACATTCGTCTGAAAATCATGCAACATTTACACAGATGGAGGTGGTCAGTGTTCTAAAAGTGGCACTCGTCTTCGCGCCACGAACGTCCGTCTTAACAGTTTACGACAGCTGCACAGATGGAAGGCGCACAGTCTGTAAGGTTCAAAAACAATCACACGGATGTAAGGCGGTGCGCTCTCATCATGTGGCTATAGTTCGTAACTTCTTCTTGTCGTGCCAGGAATGAACGCATGCGCAGCATGCAACGGAAGGATACGCGGGTTCTTTTCAGCACGGGGCTCTCGCAGGACTGCTCTTCCAGTTGTATGGGCATAGCTATGTGCAGTTCTCGTTGGCAGAGAGATGGAGGGCGGAGCCTTCTCAGAACGGGGCTCTTGCTTGAATGGCAGAGCACGCCGGTAGATCGTTCGTCCTTCAAGCGAGCGCTCCCCGCAACGAGAAGGAGTGCCTGTAAGGACTTCACGATAAGCGGACCCGAGACGGGCGTGTGCATTGCAGCGTCGTGGATACATCTTGGGTGTCCTGCTGTCCTTCTCCTCCTCCTCCTCCTTCTCCTCCTCCTCCTCCTCCTTCTCCTCCTCCTCCTCCTCCTCCTCCTCCTCCTCCTCCTCCTCCTCCTCCTCCTCCTCCTCCTCCTCCTCCTTCTCCTCCTCCTCCTCCTCCTCCTCCTCCTCCTCCTCCCTCAAAAACGTCATCCCACGCACCTCCCTCAAAGACCGGCCTCGCACCGCTCCAGGGGTGCGCCTCGGCTGGGAGTTCGAAAGCCTGCCAGACCCGCTCCAAGGACGGAACTTCCAAAACCCTCGATGCTCGATTCTCCTGCCCCCTCCTCTCTCCACTTCTCCCGCGCTCCGAATTGACGGCGATGGAGCAGCTCTGGTCCGCGGCGTAGTCGCTTGGGTCCGTCCATCCCCGGTGGGGCAAGGCTCGGGGGCACGGGCCCGCGGGGCGGGGGGGGGGCCAGGCGGAGGAGCGGCACACGGGCCGAAGGGGAGGCGCACAGGGGGCGACAGCGGAGGGGGGTGAGGGGGGACAGAGGAGGAACAAGGGGCGAGGGGGGTGAAGGGAGAAAGAGGAGGCGCAGGGGGGAGAAGGAGGAGGAGGCGCATGGGGGGGAGAAAGAGGAGGAGGGGGAGGAGGAGGAGGAGGAGGAGGAGGAGGAGGAGGAGGAGGAGGAGGAGGAGGAGGAGGAGGAGGAGGAGAAGAAAACGCAGGGGCCAGAAGAGGAGGCGCAGGGGTTGAGGGGAGAAAGAGGAAGCGAAGCGAAGCGAAGCAAAGCGAAGCGAACGCTGGAGTCGTGCGCGCTCCCTTGGGGAACCCGCCCGCGCCCGTCTGGGGCGGCTGAGGCGAGAAGGGGAGGGGGAGGGTCGGATCGGATCGACTCGCGAGGGGAAACTGCATCGGCAACTTGTTCCGACCCAGAACTTGCACTCAACCCACATACACACATTGGCGTCGCGGCCTCGCGCGCGGCGTCGAGGCGGAGGAGGTCGAAAGCAGCGGATCGCAACCCACACACACACACACACACACACACACACACACACACACACGCACTGTGGAAGGGGCGGGAGTGGGGACCGGGGCGAACAAGGAGCCACTGCCAACCCGCCACAATCGCTACACTCGCCTTCCCCCTCTCACCGGCACCGCCGTCTGCCACCGTCCTGCGCGTGGGATGCTCTTTGCTGCCTGCCCGCCACCACACCGCTTCAACTGTGCACGAGACGGGCGGGGATCCGTTGACGAGGGCAACGCAGGGGAAGCGGGGGAGGTGCCATGCCGGCGCGGGCCGCCCCGGGCTTTGTGGCCAGGGGGGCCACGGACCACTTGGCACAACCGCCACGGCTTCGGCCGCAGTGCTTCCCCCCTCCCTCCCTCTCCAGGAGTTCGCCAGGGGGGCAGCGTTGTCTCCAGTACGGGCAGCGGGGGTGCCTGATCCGTCCATGACAATCCTTACGATGCCCATTCGCGAGACGCTCGGATCTTAGGTTTGCTCTTGCCGACGATTAGGCTGCGCAGGTTTGCTCTTACCCTGCGAGCACTACCCTCTCCTCCGTCGCCCCAGAAGCACAGATCGCGCACGCTGCCCCCTCAGCGAGCTTCAATCCCTCTCTCCCTCTCCTGAGCCCTGCGTCGTCTGACCGTGTTGTCGTTGCTCCGTCTCTCCCATCAGCGCCATCTGATCTATCGTCTCCTACCTGATATTCCGCCCCGCCCCCTGCCCCCCCCGGGGTAGGGCAGCGTCGGGGTACGACCCTGGTGCCTGCAGCAACGAGCGACGATCATGAGGAGGAGGAGGAGGAGGAGGAGGAGGAGGAAGAGGAGGAGGAGGAGGAGGAGGAGGAGGAGGAGGAGGAGGAGGAGGGAGGAGGAGGGGGGGGAGGAGGGGGAGAAGGAGCAGGGAACAAAACCTCAGGGGGGGAGTTGGAGAGGGTGGGAGGAGAAGCAGTAGGGGGAGGTGGCGATGAGAAGGAGGGAGAGGAGGAGGGATAAGAGCAGGGGGAGAAGGAGGAGCAGCAGCAGCAAGGAAATTGACGAGGGGGATCACTGCGATCGATGGCGGGACACGGAATTGCCATCGCTCGCGCCAGGACGTGCCGCCGCGATGCGCTGCGCGGATAGTTGGGGCTCTGCGCGCAGTGGCTGTCGTCGACCGTGCATTCGCCGCTGAGCACAATGAACATCTGGCCTTCCGTTCCTCCTCCTCATCATCAGAATCATCATACTGCTCGACCTCAACACCATCGTCAAACATCTACTCGTACTCGTCATCAGCAGAATCATCAATATCATCGCCAATAGCATCATCATAAACTGCAGCATAACCGTCATCATCGGCATCATCATACTCCCTATCAGGTCCGTCATCATGATCATGACCATCGTCGCGATCAGAATCAACAGTTTCATCAGAATCATCATCATCATCATCATCATCATCGTCGTCGTCGTCGTCATCATCAGCAGCAGCATCATTATCATCATTAGTAGCATCATCATCATGCTCATCATCCTCAGCATCATCATCATTACCACCATCATCATCATCATCATCATCATCATCATCATCATCATCATCATCATAATCAGCATCACCACCACCACCACCACCATCATCATCATCATCACCAGCATCATCATCATCCTCAGCAGCATCGTCATCATCAGCATCATCATCATCATCATCATCATCATCAGCATCGTCATCATCGTCATCATCACCATCGTTATCATGATCATCAGCAGCAGCCTCATCATCATGACCAACATCGTCATCATCAGCATCATCAGCATCAGCACCAACATCAGCATTCATCATCAGCATCACCAACATCGTGACCACCATCGTCATCATCCTCATCATCATCGTCATCATCAGCATCATTGTCTTCCTCCTGGGAATCATCCTCATCACCGTCCTCCTCTCATCATCAGCGTCGTCATCATCCTCATCATCAGCAGCAGCATCATCATCGTCGTCATCATCAGAATCGTCCTCAACACCGCCCTCCTCATCACCGCCCTCCTCTCATCATCATGAGCAGCAGCATCATGATGTTCAGCATAATCATCATCAGCATAATAACCATTATCAGCATCACCACCATCAGCATGATCATCGTCATCATCAGCATCAGCATCATCATCAGCATTATCATCATTACCATCAGCATGATCATCGTCATCATCAGCATCATCATCAACAGCAGCATCATCGTCATCATCATCATTCAGCATCATCATCAGTATCATCAGCATCATCATCCCCATCATCATCAGCGGTATCATCATCATCAGAATCATCAGCATCATCATAACCATCATCAGCATCATCATCAGCAGCATCATCAGCATCATCAGCATCATCATTACCATCATCAGCATCATCATCAACACCACCATCATCATCAGCAGCATCAACATCATCATCAGCATCAGCATCAGCATCAGCATCAGCATCAGCATCAGCACCATCATCATCATCATCATCATCATCATCATCATCATCATCATCATCATCATCAGCATCGTAATCATTACCACCATGATCATCAACAGCAGTCGCGTCGTCGTCGTCACCACCCTCACCGCCCGAGCCCGCCATGGTGCGGATCCTGCCCACGCCGCAGAGAGTTGCGCACCCTCCGAGGCCCTCGCGGCCGGCGGACCCGACCAGCATGAGGTCGCGCCACGAGGCGGAGCAGGAGGGTGGGGCCAAAGGGACGGGCCTGCGAGCGAGGCAAAAGTCACGGTGGGGCGGTGGGGGATCCGGCGGCATCGGCAGCGCCTGACGCCGGACAACCTGTGCGTCCAGTCAGGCAGATTCCTCCGCCCTCACGCTGGCACGGCCATGAACCAGCCCGCGGGTTGGGAGGAGGGGCAGGCGATGCTAGCCTGCTGGTCGCCGTAGCCTGGGTCGACCTCGATGCGAAGGCGGCTGTGGTGGGTGGCCACGATGAGGAGCTGCCCGCACGCCCCGCCTGAGAGGAGCGCTGCGGAGCGTGCTGCGCTTCGGCGAGGGGCCCGAGCCGCGAGCGAGGGCGACCGCGAGGGCTGGAGCTCGCCTCTGGACTTCAGCTCCGCGGCTGCCCCCACCCGAGCACTTCCACGGGAGGCGAGGCGATTGGGCTCAAGTCGGGCGCGTCCCCCTGCAGGGGGATTTTCGGGGGGGGGAAACAAAAAACAACCAAAAAAAAATGCCAAAAAATATTCAAAGAATAGTCCCCAAACTATTTCTGGACCATTCTTTGACTATTTTTGGGGGTATCTGTTAGTTTTCGTCGAAAATGCCCCTGTAGGGGGACAGGCCCGACTTAAGATTGGGCTCCCCCCACGGCAGGTGGGCGACGGCCCCGGAAGAGTACCTACCTCGTGCGGGCCCTTGACATGCCCACCGACCAGAAGGGTGCGCACCTCGGCCGGGGGAGCCGCCCGCGCGAGCCCAAAAGCTGCTTCGCGCCCGCGCCGCCACGGGCGGCGGCCTCCGCTGCAGACCGCGCGGTGGAGTGGTGGTCGACGGCAGCCGCGCCGGCAGCCGCCCTGCAGACCCATGTATCGGGCGGGACTTAATGGGGGGGTCACAAATGGAGGGGTCAGAAAAGGTCCCCTTTCGTGCCCCTTTCGGGCCCCTCGAGAGCCCCAGGAGGCTCGTTTAGGTACCGTTGGGGTACCTTTTCGAACCACCCTCGCCACCCCCCCATGTATGACCCCCCCATTACGCGACGCCCAAATGTATCTGGGGCTGGAACTTCCGGTCGAAGCGAAGCGGGCCGCGCGAAGCTTGAATTCGGCAGAGAAAGGGAGGGAGGAGCGGCGGAGCCTCAGAGCGGCGGCCGAGACTGGGGCTGGAACTTGCGAGGTGGCCGATGCTCGCGGGGAAGCTGCGCGCCAGGCTGCGCGCTCCCTCCGCGCCACGTGCGGAGCAGCGGCCGACGGACGCGCCGGTGCCGACGTCGCGGAGGGTCCACCGGCGCTGGCGTGCGGCTTTGCAGGGCGTGTGGCGCTGGGATGACCATCGATGCAGCCGGGTGGCATTTGCGATTGCCGTCGTGGCGCACCGAATGGAGCGGGCGGATGCCCAGCTCAGGGTCAAGCCGTTCCAGGCACGGCTCTGCGAGTCGAATGCCAAAACGCCGTCGAAGGCGCCGCGGTCGACCCAGCCAAGGATGGTTCTGGTGCAGGAGTTCAACGGCAGTGCCGATCCAGCCACCATGCTGGATGGCAAGCGGCGGAAGTGGGCCGCTCGCCCGACCAGAGGGGCTGGCCTATAGGGCCTCGGGAGCTGCGGCCGCCGCCTGCCGAGTGTCGCGACTGTGCCCTGGCGAAGTATTGGGCGTCGACCACGTGCGAGGATGTTGTGGGGACGGTTGGGCGCCTGCATGCCCGCACGAGGCGGGGGGGCGACAATGCGGACCCAGCCGATGCGCGGGCCGCGCCGCTCGAATCGGTGAGGGGGCCCGCGGAGCTGCTCCACCCGTGCGGAGCGGCGATCCTGTGGCCCTGGCAGCTCACTGGTGGTGCTGGAGGCTGTGCTGGAGAAGCCGAGCGGGGGGGCGAGCGCGCTGTCGCGCTTCTGCGAGTTCACGCGGCAGAGCGACGCTGGCGAGCGCTGGACCCTCAGCGTGAACCCGCAGGAGGACATCCCGAATGTCGCGCCCGTTCTCGCCGCGGTGCAGCAGCCAGTCTGGGGCGAGGTCTGGAGGCTAGCTGCGACAGCTTCCCCTTGCGGCCGTACCTGAACAAGCTCGGCTACAAGGACACGGACGGCGTCTGGCGGGGCTGTCACATCTGCATCGCCACAAGCGGCTTCTGGCCACAGCGCCGCCGACGCGAAGCTGGGCTCGCCGAGCAGGAGGTCACGTGCACGCGCTGCTACGCCAACGTGCCCGAGACCCCGCTGCACAGGCATTGGCAGAGTGCGGGCAACGCGGCGACGCATGCATCCCCGCCCGTGTCGGCACGCAGGACTTGGAGGAGGCAGCCCGTTGCGACGCCGACGTGTTCCCTTGCTTTTGGCATCGCGTAGTGGTCCAAGTACCTTGGGCTCAGACTCTGAGTCCGAGCGATATCGAGGAGCACTGGGGTTGGCAAATCGGCGAGGTATTGAGTGCCACGGGCAATCAAGGGGGGCGACGGCTCCCGAGGCGAGCATTCGGGCGACCCCCGGCTGCGGAGAGCAGGCTGGAGCCACGTGCTGGTCGCGGAAGGGGTATCCGCAGGGCCTGAGGCTGCAGCTGCAGGGCGAGGCCCGCGGGGACGAGCGGGCAGTATCCGAAGGCCCGCCCAGATAGTCAACCGTGGGGAGCTGATGGCGGCGGTGGTGTATGCAGACGAGTGCGGCGCGGTGTACATCACCGATTCGTCCTGTGGTGAGAGGGTGGCTTCGCCATCGCACCCGGAAACCGCGCAGCCACAGGGACTTGCGGAAGCGGCTCTGTGCCACGACCGATGCGCGCGGGCGCAGCCTGACCGTTCCAAAGGTCGAGTCGCACCTGGACAAGGCTGAGGCGGAGATGAGGGAATTCCCACTGCTGCCCGTGCGCTCGAACAGGTCTGCGGACGAGCTGGCGGCACGAGCGGCGCAGAGGATGGCGCTGGGTGCCGCAGAGGTCCAGGTGGTCCTGGACGTGGGCCAGCGTGCTGCCCAGGTGCGCCAGCGGCTTGCGGCTGTCCCCCAGGAGACGGGGGGCAGGAGCGGAGCGGCGCCCGCGGCAGCCGCGTGAGGCCGCCGCCGCCGGCCAGCACTCGTCCCTCCGCGGCGAGGCACGGGCGGTAACGCAGCACGAGGAGGTGGTGGGCATCTGCGGGATCCCGGGCGGGGCCAGCAGGCTGCGCTGCCGAAGCTCTCTGGCCGAGGTGCGTGGCCGCCGGGCCTCGAGCACGGAGCGGGTGCGGACGGCCAGCGTTGGGCCGCCGCTGGCGCCTGCGGCGGGAGCAGGGCCCGAGCCAGCAGGCGACGCGAGGGCTCCTCGACAGGTGCGGGTGGGAGGCCCTGCCGTGCACCCGAGCCACGATCTCCGAGCGCACGCTGCCGCGCCAGTCTGGTACTGCGCACAGCCTGCCGGCGGGGCGCCCCCTCACCCAGGCTTGGCGGGAGGCGCTGGAACGCCTGGCGAGACGACTCTGGCCAAGCGCTTCTGAGGCGGCGCGTCCCTTCCTTTCTTCGACTATGTCCCAGCGACGGCAAAA